CACCCACACACACACACACACACACACACACACACACACACACACGCACACGCACACGCACACGCACACGCACACGCACACGCACACGCACACGCACACGCACACGCCTGGGAGTGGCCACAGATTGAAGCTGGAACCGGCTCGCTCGAACTGGAACCAAGGCGCTGGAAGTGCTTCGAAGGTTAAGGATCCAAGCCTCAGCCAGTTGGTCGGCCAGTCGGAAGCTCGGCGAGTCAGGCAAAAGAAGCTGCCTTTATTTAGGGGATGCGGGGGGGCTATAGGCGCGAGTCTCGCACCACGGGGATGAAATCGTTGATTGCTGGAATTTATGTAGGGGAATCGAATCATTCCAGGGTTTCTGAACGTCCCCAGTATGGGGGGGTCTGTGGGGTTATATCTGGATAAGCCCAGTTGATAAGCCAAGTTGATAAGCTCTTAAGGCCAGAAAAGGGGTTAATAAGGGAGAACAACGCCCCCGTGGCCCACCCCCCATGATCAATTGATTCAATGGAGCAGCCTGGCAACCTCGTCGGGTTCCTAGGCTTTTGCTCAGACATATTCATTTCAAATGGAATAAAGTTGATCAGCTTTTGGGACCTAAAACTGAACCATTGGAAAACCAAAAGGTCTCGCCGCGCTACATGAGACACCAGAGTCAGTGTAGAGGAGACTCCTTTTGTACAACCCTTTGTAAAATTATTTCAAAAGTTGCAAGGGGTACTAGTCATGGCCGTTCTTTATTTCACCAAAACGGGGCACACAAGCTCTCCCTTTCTGCGCAGTCAAAGCTTTTGCTCGCCAAGTGCAGGTGCTTGCGCTGCGACATGGGTGGAATTTAAAATTATGAACCCAGGCACCGCACATGCATTTGCTTTTTCTCCAACTCCAACTAGCCATACATGAAGCTACGAAACTCTTCATGTTCCTCCCATCTCACTCAAACAAAAAAATGCAGCTGCATCTTAGGCACCCATCCGAGTCACGCTTGCCAATAAGCTGCAGCCTGCAAAAGCACGTTCTCCAATCACAGTCAGAGAGTTGAGAATGGTCACGCTTGCCAATGAGCTGCAGCCTTTGACGGAACAACTTCCAATCTCAGTCACAAATTGGGAATGGTCACGCTGGCCAATGAGCTGCAGCCTTCAAAGGCACTACGTTCTATCTGAGTGACGGAATTAGGAATGGTCACGCTTGCCAGAAAGCTGCAATCTGCAAAGGAACCAGGTCCAATCCAAATCACGGAGTTGGGAATGGTCACGCTGGCCAATGCGCTGCAGCCTTCGAAGGCACTACGTTCTATGTGAGTGACGGAATCGGGCATGGTCACGCTTGCCAATGAGCTGCAGCCTTCAAAGGCACTACGTTCTATCTGAGTGACGGAATTAGGAATGGTCATGCTTGCCAGTGAGCTGCAATCTGCAAAGGCACCAGGTCCAATCAAAATCACGGAGTTGGGAATGGTCACGCTGGCCAATGAGCTGCAGCCTTCAAAGGCACTACGTTCTATCTGAGTGACGGAATTAGGAATGGTCACGCTTGCCAGTGAGCTGCAGCCTGCAAAGGCACCAGGTCCAATCAAAATCACGGAGTTGGGATGGTCACGCTTGCCAATGAGCTGCAGCCTGCAAAGGCACTACGTTGAATCTGAGTGACGGAATCGGGCATGGTCACGCTGGCCAATGAGCTGCAGCCTTTAAAGGCACTACGTTCTATCTGAGTGACGGAATCGGGCATGGTCACGCTTGCCAGTGAGCTGCAGCCTGCAAAGGCACCAGGTCCAATCAAAATCACGGAGTTGGGAATGGTCACGCTGGCCAATGAGCTGCAGCCTTCAAAGGCACTACGTTCTATCTGAGTGACGGAATCGGGCATGGTCACGCTTGCCAATGAGCTGCAGCCTGCAAAGGCACTACGTTGAATCTGAGTGACGGAATCGGGCATGGTCACGCTGGCCAATGAGCTGCAGCCTTTAAAGGCACTACGTTCTATCTGAGTGACGGAATCGGGCATGGTCACGCTTGCCAGTGAGCTGCAGCCTGCAAAGGCACCAGGTCCAATCAAAATCACGGAGTTGGGAATGGTCACGCTGGCCAATGAGCTGCAGCCTTCAAAGGCACTACATTCTATCTGAGTGACGGAACCGGGCATGGTCACGCTTGCCAGTGAGCTGCAGCCTGCAAAGGCACCAGGTCCAATCAAAATCACGGAGTTGGGAATGGTCACGCTGGCCAATGAGCTGCAGCCTTTAAAGGCACCATCTTCTATCTGAGTGACGGAATCGGGAATGGTCACGCTTGCCAATGAGCTGCAGTCTTCGAAGGAACACTCTCCAATCTCAGTCACGGAGTTGGGAATTTCTACCACCAACAATTCTTCCACCTTGCAGCCGGAGGCTTGGAATCTTGAGCACTCTACCGGCTGGACGCTGAGGAAAGCCAGGACTTCTGTACCTGGAATGGCCTCTGACACTAACTCCTCTTTGTTCAATAGGGGCCTGTCACCAACCACCAGCTCTACGGAGCTCATGTTGCGCTTTGATTCATCTTCGCAGGGCAGCCACGCGTGCAGCTGCCTCTTGAATTCACGGATGGTCGTATGGGCGGACACTGCGAATGAGCCTTCCTCCCCGGACAGCTGTCTTACCGAAATCTCCCTTGCCATGGCTGGTATCCGTGCGGCTACCAAGTGCTCCAAACTCTAGGGGTCGATTCCTTGTCCATTGTTTCCAACCATCGCTCTTCTCAAAAATCGATCGTTTCCACTGGGTTTCTTGAGGTTTTCTAAGATTTGGATCCCTGGAAAGAATGCGGGAAGGCGACCAAGTGCTCCAAACAGGTTTCCTTGGAGTTCCCCTCCAGACCAACCCAAAAGTGCATCCCCAACTTGGGTTGACAACATGGCCAGCCCCTTCGTGTTTCGGGCCCCGGACTCGCTTTCACTATCTCGCAGAAAACTCCGGGGTGCCGGCTCGCAGAAAAATGCCCGCAAAGTACCAGCTGGTGTCATGTTTGTCAGGAGGGTAGGTAACATTGGTAAAGGAACTAAGCTTCATTGCCTCAAATATGATCGTGGTAAGCAAACGGGGATGGGGGGGAAGCCAAGAGGCGAAGATTTGCAAGGCGATTTAGATCCAACTTGCCGGGCATGAAGAATATGGCCTAACATGAAAGTGCACAGGTCTCCGTCCTGAAGGGGCCGAAAGTGCAGTTTCAGGAATGGTCTGAGGTATTCCATATTCAAGGGGTGTGTATCGTTAAAACTCAGAAAGTCACAACATCTGTTGATATTCTCCAACCCCCCCTCCCCCCCCCCTTCGATATGGGTGTGTTTTCCGCAAGCAAAACGACAACATGTCGATGGTTTTTTTGTTGGTTCCCCCCCCCCCCCAAAAAAAAAGAAGGAGAAAAAACGCAAACAAAAACAAACACTCACTTCCAGAGTGGATTGGCCCGAACAAGTCCGGACTTTTTCAAGTACACGTGGAAGTGCACAGGCTCGCTTTCCAAGCGGAACCTGACTTTCCAAAAGGCTGCCAATTCAATTTGGGTGCGCCCAATGGTATCCCTTGTCAGTGGCTCTGTTTTGCTGAGTGTACCTTCCTCTTTTGTTGTTTTGCTTGTTAGTGTCTCTTGTTTTTTTTCTCTGTTATATTTATCTTAAACTAACAAAACTCAGGAAAACAATTCCAGAAAAACATGTGTCTACCTGGCCCCCAAAAAGTACAATCCGAAGGTACGCTTGGATTCTGGGCTGCCCTCAGATCCCTCGCTAAAAGTTTAACTTTTAGTAGGTTAAATACGGAAATCCAACCACTAAACACTACAAGGATCTAAAAAGCTAAGGAACCGCATGGCTGGGAGCAAGGATTGAGAGTGACTTTGGGGAGCCAAAGGACAAAACCACCTAGGAATCCTAGGAACTTGCACCTCACGGGACCCAGGGGTCGTGGGGGTAGAGTCTTAGAGAAAGTGCAGGCCGAATTGTGGCCAAGGGGGTCCCCCCCCCAAAAAAAAAAAAGAGAGAGAGAGAGAGAGAGTGGAGTTTTCTGTTGGGTTCTCCTTTGAAACCAACCAAAAGGGGGGATATTAACTCCAAGCAAAGACCATAAGCCACCCATTTGGACCGTCGATTCGCCCTTTATCGATCTGAAGGGTCCCCGCTGGGAGCTGAAATCTCTCAGCAGCTCAGTCCTTCGAAAGTCGCGCTGCTCGAAAAAGACCTCGCGGTGGGAGCGAGCGCCGGGCGACCCATGGCTTTGTCTCAAGAGGAATCCGTGGAGGAGGAGGAGGAGGAGGAGGAAATAAGGTTTCAGTTTCTGAGAAAGGTGGAGGAATCCAATACTAGTTTCTGAGAAAGGAGGAGGACTTTGCAAGTATCTGGTGTACCGGACTGGTCTTGTAGCTGCTTGTAGCTTCATTTCACTTGCCAGTATGTTACGAAAATCCGGAGAGGAATCCGTCCAAGATGCTTGGCCCACATGCTTGGTTCTCGATTTCTGGCTTCTTCCCATATAACCTGCGCCAGGTCCCTTGGGTCCCCTTTTTCCAGTTCCAGAAAGGAGCATGTTGCGGGTTTCCGATGGCGGCTGGCACCCACCCTTTCGTTTCACCGTACTGGAGTTCGGCCCTGCACCAAAGGAACAACTCGACGAGCTTTTTCGGGCCCAGTGTGGATGGACAGAATCCATGTCGCATCGGTTGGGATGGCCAACATCCTTCTTTGATAATGGGATAAACTACCTATGAACTCCTGCAGGAGTTTGGTCCATCCACAGTATTTCATAGGGGCCAACAGAATTCCTTTGTAAAAGTTCATTGATGTACCTCCGGTTTCCATTGAAGCGATTGCCACAATGGGTCCAAAACAAAACCAGAAATTGAGGGACCCCGAAAATTTCAACTATCACCCACATGGATTCCCACATTCTGGAGATCAAAAAGAGAGACCCGTGGTCGAAGGGCGATCTAACTCTAAATGTGCCTAAGAAACTGGACCAATACAAAAGCAAATCAACAATCAATACCATCCAATGACTTACCAACACTAGATGAAGCAACACCCCCAACTCTACACATCCGACGTGAGCTGGGCAAATGACCAAAGTTGCCATAGTTGAATAGAATCCATGTAAGCAAGATGCTTCCCACTTTGTGCCATGTTTGCATGTTGGCACTTTGACTGCGCCCAGTCAAAGGGGCCAAAGTGGAGGCCCACGGAAATCAAAGATGGCTCGAGCCCACGGAAATCAAAGATGTGCGTAGTACATGCCGTGCATCTGAAACTACCCACTTGCACACCCGGAATGAATGCTTAAGCTCCTGGGACCTTAAGACTGAACCAACATTCGAAATCCCAAAGATCAACAAGTCGGCTTTGGGCAACTGAGACTACACCTTGGGCGTCAAAAGCACGTGGTACATGCTATCCAATGAGAATGTAGTCATACGCAGCTTTCTCGGATCGCACATGAAAACGTGCTCGAAACTGACAGCAGGTAAGGCCTGCTCACAAGAAACAACTAAACTGTCAAGGAGGATGCCGCAAAAGCAGGCGCAGGGGATGGTGACGACCAGATGTTGCCACCGATAACGATAACCCACCAAGACTGATAGAGGAGTTCCTATTTATACCGCCGTGGTTTTAAGCATCACCTTTCGGACCTTTCGGGTTATTTTCGTTGAGTATTCAGTATTCTCTTAGGGTCATGTTGAAGGGGACATAGCGGGACTCCCTGATAAACAAACCTATGGTTTAGGCCAATGACACCACATGGCCCCATTGCCTCCATGACTCCACAGGTAGAGTTTGTTTCATGAGGGAAGCCTGGGTTTATGGCTATGCAGTTGCGGGGGGGATAACCTAGGCTTCCCCAAAGCTCCGGTTTGCCCACTCATCCACTCAACCCTCTTAGGGTTTCCATGGGAACTCCATGGCCGGATTGACAGCCTTCAGAACTCTTGCTGCCTTTGGATAGCTGGCTGCGGCTCAAATACATGTACCAAATTTGGCACCTTGGTAAATGCAACCAAAGACTAGAAGCTGCGTAACCCTAGCTCTTTGATTTTGAGCCACACTCAGCTGGGCTATGGACTTTGCTTTCATGTGTGGTTTGCGAATTGGATTCCTGGGAAGATTATCTCTATCACACACTGGCCACCGGGAGGAATGGAACGTACTATATGGGAGTCGCGCGAACCTTCGGATGCCTCAAAACCAAAACTGAAGACCCCCACGAAAAATGACAAACGGGTCTAGTGGGAAGGCACCATGTTGGGTATGCCTGGAGCAAACAAGATTCGTTTGTGGGCAAACATAACTAAGTCCCTGGATGCGTTGGAGGATCTTGCCCCCTTCCTTGGTGGTTCGAGGCTTCTAGCAAGACTTCCTGTACTTTCTGCTCAGTCAATGCTTGCTACTCTGCTCAGCGGCGTTGGGGCTTCGCAGCATTCTCATAATTTGGGGATCGCCAAAAAAGTTGATGTCCTTTTGGTCTGCCTTTAAAACCAACCAACACTTCCCGAGCGAATTGGCCACAAACAAGTCTGAGCTGCTTATTTACCTCTAACACTCCCAAAAAGTGACTCAAGTCCAGGAAGCAGATACAAGAAACAAAGACTTCCTGGACTTCCAAACAGAGATACAAGAAACAAAACGAGACGTGGACCAGAGGCGAAGCCCCGTTTTTTTCTTCTCTTTTTTTCCTCCAAAAAGTGAAATAAAGAAAGCAGATCAAAGAAAACACAAAATGACACAGTCTTCACGTCTCCTTTCCGTTCTCCGCCATTCTCCGCCCGGGGAAGCGAAACTGAAGCCGCACTTCCCGCCTGCGTGACGGGGCTCAGGCGCTGCTGCACGAGGCCATAGAAGGGGCAGCGCAAGAGCCTCAGTTCAGTGACCTGGGAAAAAGTGGTTGGAACCCTTTTTGGGGCTGGGACCATTTTTGTGGGGCAGGTCACCCAAAAAAATGGAAAACGAATTGGCGCCACTGAACAACTGAGAGCAAGAACCCTGTTTGCTGGTTGCTGAAAAAAGCGACCCTCTGCAAAAAGTTGGGAACACTTTGGGAAGTCCCTTTTGGCACTGGTCCAAGCCCAACAAGTGACTAAAGTCCAGGAAATCAGGAAGTGAGCTAAGGGTGGTATCCACTGAGCTTGGTTGCTGAAACGACCCTGCAAAAAGTTGAGAAGACCTTTTGGGGGTTTAGTGGATTGAGCACCCCTTGATTTCAAACAAAAAGTTAAAGTCTAAGGAACCAACCCAATAGCAGCTAAGTTTGGGGAAGACCACTTTTAGTTGGGCAGCCACAAAAAAAGGGGGAAAAAGGGTGCCACAGCATCAACAAGTCCCAGCCAGGTTCAACTTGGGCACTAGGTCCCCCAGTAGTGCCCGTTTACCCTTTTGAGGGGAGGGCTCCCCTACTAAAATAGATCACAGAAAACAGGGTACCCTTATTCTAACCTCTCTACTGGAGGACCTAGGGTAAATACGCTGTAATCGTGGCGATTCGGTCTTTGGTGTGACCTTAGGCTCTGAGACCTTCAAACAAAACGCTTTTCCACTAGGCTACGAAACGTGATTGACCTTTTGCTCAGGGCGGAACAGCAATCCACCAACGATCCATTGCCAGACTCAACTTACCCTTTTTAACCTTGTGTTTGTTT